ATTATGGATGTGACCACTCTGTCTATTGTCAATGATATGATTTTCCTGGGCTAATGTAGTGGCTTCCCATTGGGAAGAAAAGGGTTAAAAACCTTAACAAAAGAACTCTGGTTAAAGACATCTTTGCTCTCTGTAGAACTCATAATTTAGCAATGAACCTTCCGATGTCAAAGCATGTTATTACTCCTATGAGCCCCAATCTCCTTATCACTTTTTCACCTAAATCTAAAGACTTTCCATAAGCCAAAGTAGTCTTGTCAAAATTTCAATTGTAAATGTAATATTAAACAAAATAAAGGTGTTTCCAGAAAACCCACAGATGCTAAGTGATCCAAGGGAGAAATGCTTTAGAAAATCATATCTGTTGCATAGAGTTTTCTGTATCCTCAAACCCTTATAAAAATCAGTTTTTCGCTCTAACTGCAAGATTCTCTTGAAACTCGTGTACCCTTATTATAATAAATTCTTGTCTTTTCTAAAGGAGGAGAAAAATTGAGGGATAATTGAAACAAGAAGTGAAAAAGTTTTATGTAAAAAACTAGAACTTATACAAATACATAAAATAACCAACTAAGTGGAGATATATCATGTTTCTGGATAGGAAGACTCAAAATTATAAAGCAAAGCAATTCTGATCCAGTGTGTGCATGTGTGTGTGTGTGTGTGTGTGTGTGTGTGTGTGTGTGTGGTCTTAAGATAGAATCCATGGTAAGTATTGATGAACTATACCTCCAATATGAGAACTTTTTAAAATTGCATCTTACTATCATATTCTAATAATTACATAGATGAAAATTTATGAACACTTATGAACATTATTAAGTTTAAAAAAGAATAATAATAGAGAAGGGAATTTATTCTCCTGGAAATGAAAACACATAGCAATTAGAATAAAACAGTAAGATAAGATTAGCTAAAAGTAAATAAATAGGGGCTGGGGATTTAGCTTTAGCTTGAGGTCATGAGTTCAATCTTGGTATCAAAAAAAAGTAAACAAATAGATCAAAGGGAAGAACAGTGTTTAGGGAAACAATTGTTAAGTACATTTCTTTAATTCTACAAAATTCTTCAGAAGATCCACGGTTGGACTGAGCTTCAGTTATCTATAATAGCAACCTATTTATACCATTTATTGGCCTTTCTCTCTTCCCTATTTCACTTGATTCATTTGCTTCCTAGGATCACCTATCAATCACAGTACTTATACTCAAGTTTCTCAGTGTTTGCTTTTGGTGGAACCCAAAATAAAATAAGAGATATTTAATTTAATGCTCTACATGCTTCTGTATCATACTAGTTTTTCACAATGGCAACATGTAAGATGTGTAATTAAAATTATTATCCTGACCACATCTTACCTGTAAATTTGGAATACTGTTCTAGAGTTTATTTTCTTTACTAAAGGAAGACCTCTTAAATAGAAAGCACTATCTTCCTACTCTCTCAAATGTCTTAAAATTTAGACCTAAAATCCCATATATATTTGTAGTTCATTCTGCTCTTTCCCTTTTATCCTTCAATTGGTAATAATTTAGTGATTATTTTCCTATTATAACACATAAACTCCAGAAAAGCCACCACCACTGATAATCTGGCACTGAAACATTTTATTTTTTTAACTTTTCTTTTTCTTTTTAATTAACATATAACAGTTATACCTTTTATGGGGAATGGTATGATTTTCAAATATTTGTATACAATGTGCAATCAAATCAAGTTAATTGGCATTTCTGTCTCATAATTTCTTTTTTTTTTTTTTTTGTCTTTTTCTTTTTTTCTTTTTTTCTTTTTTTTTTATCGGTACCAGGGATCGAACTCATGACTGCCTGCTTGCAAGGCAGGCGCTTATGCCGCTGAGCATCCCCAGCCCCTATTTCTTTATGTGTGGAGCTTCAGCTTTCTGATTCTTCATAAAATACTACAGCTAACTGTAAACTATAATCACCTCACAGTGGGGTAGAACATTAGAACTTATCCCTCTTATCTAACTGTATTTTGGTACTCACTAATCAGACTTCTTCTATTCCCTAGTCTCTAGTTATCACTATCCTATTCTTTTCCACTTTAAGATCAACTTTTTTTCTCTTCTGCATATGAGAAAGAATTTGCTTTCTGTGTCTGGTTTATTTCACTTAATCAAATGTTCTTTAGTTTTACTCATTTTGCAATAAGTGACAGGATTCGTTCTTTTTTATATCTGAAAAATTCACATGTATACATTTATATCATACGTTCTTTATTCATCCATACATCTACATTGATTCTAGATTTGGCTACTATGAATAGTGTTGCCATTAACATGGGGAATGTAAATGTCTTTCTCACATACAGACTTTACTTTCTTTGGGTATGTAGATTGACGTGGAAACTGACATATAGAATTTAATAAGGTGGAATCATTAAAAAATCTTGGAATAAAATTGTATAGATATACAAATCTATAAATATTTACCTTTTGTAAATCTGCACTTAAGTGGCATTTATCTGTCCCATCTAAAAATGCTTGCAGGTTCATGCACTATAATACCATAACTAAAAGACATTTTTAAAACATTATTCCTAAAGAATGTGTGAGTAATTAATCACCAAAAGCATATGGGGAAGTGTGGAAATCTGAATATATAACTCAGGGTATTATAGAATAGTTTCAACAAATGAACTCAGGAAATGCCATTTATTCCTACACTAAACTGAGAACTGTTCTTCAAGAAGTGGGAAGTTGAAAGGTTAAAAAGGTACAAAAGCTTAGAAACAGAAAAAAAAGGTAGTCAAAGAAGGCTGTGATATTATTCAGAAATTCTAGTGTTAAAAAAATCAGTCATGGTATAGCATAGACAACAGAGAAATCACTTGAGAGATCACCGCAACCCATGTGTAAGTGCCTTTGCTCAGATAAACCTCACAAATTCCCCAATGGACTAGCAAATCAATAGTTTTCATCACGGTTGATAATGACAAGATAATGGAAAAGGAATATTTATCAAATGATACACATTATATAACCACAGAGTGGAGGGATTATAAGACATGAGACTTCTCAGTGGCCATTCATATTAGAAACTGATTTCTACTCATCAAATTATAAAAATCCTTATAAAAATACCATCATAGTTGTAGTCCCAGGAATTAGCTCCAGTAAAGTTCCAACAAAGAGAGAAGGTATCTAAAATGAGCTCTAGTGGGCATCCTCTAAAACTGAAGAAGAATTATTCAGCCTGAATCTGTTCAGTAGCAAAAAACAAACATAACTAGAGCACTGGAAAATCATAAATAGGTTATAAATATATAAGTGGAAAAACATAACCAATGTTTTCAGATCTTTCCTAGATTTAGTACTTAAGATCAGTTCTACATAGTACAGAAAACTACATATGATTTCTTCATTAATGTGGGTTCTGTTTTTCTCAATTATACTTTCATAATGTTTCAACTGAAAATTGCCTTTGACTACTAACTACTTTGTCAACTATTAGCTAGTATCTGAAACACCAGGAATCAATAGATAAAAGTAGTTAAGGGTCCAGTACTCAGAACAATAGATATTCATTCTTGGTGAGTGGCATATCACAAAGAAGGTTCCTAAGGCAGGAATTCAGATCATTTGCTAAATGTATCTGTGCTTATAAGAGCTTGAAGGACTGGGTCAAGCTCTTCAAAAGACTGCATGTGCTTTGAATCATATTTAATGCAGGACACAAAGATTTATAAGATTGGGCTACAATGGCTGCCACAGAGTCAAATGTAGAAGAGAGCAAAAGATCTGTCTGGTGCTAGAAATCCAAAGGATCCAGTTACAGTGTGGAACCCATGGCAATATCTTGTATGAGTATGCATCAAGAGGCTGAAAAACCCACAATGGAAGACCAAGCGGTCTCTGCCAGGAGGCTGAAGGGTGGGCACTAGAAGCTACAGTGGGTCTTCCATGCCCAGAACAATGATGACTCATTCAGGTGGGCGCTCCCCACGCAAGTTCACAATTAATCAATTAACCACCACAATACAGAAAAGCAAGAGCTTGGAAACAGCAAGAAAGGGCTCTAAATCTGTCCATTCATGTTTAGCAGAATAATATGCCTGTTAGTTTGGCATAATGCAGGAAGAATCATTCACATGTAGAACCAATGTTTCAATTTTGATGAAATAACTTGAAGTGAAATAACTTTTAAAGTGAGTGAAAGCATAGTATAATATTTTCTGGCACTTTTTGAGTGACCTCTTATAGAAGCTTTAAGGACAGAGTAAGAATACATAGAATTCAAAACAAAGATTTTTTTGAGAGCATAGTCAGTTTCTTAATGAGCCATTGCTGTATAAAAAACAGTGGCTTAAAACAACCACCATTTTATTTGCACATAATTCTGTAAATCAGAAATTTGAACTGGGTTCACAAGAGTGATTCACCTGCTGACCTCATGGGAGAACACTCATGAGGATACTATCATCTGGTGGTCACTTAGGATTCATGGTCCAAGACAGCTTTAATCAAAAATCTGGTGGTTGATGATGGCTTTCACTGGGCCTCTGTCTTCTTGTGGTCTCTGAACCTCAAGGAGACTGGCTGGGGCTTGCTCATGTGGTAAAAGCAGCATTCCAAGAGGGCAAAAGCAAAAGCTTCAGAGGTTTCCTGATGTCTAGGCTCAGAAGTCTCACAATGTTACTTTCTCTAAATTCCATAAATGGAAAAGCAAAGTCACAGGACTTCCCAGACCAATGGGTTCTGAGAAAAGATTTAGAGAGAAATAGTAAAATCACAGTTGCAAAAATGGGCCTATATACAAATGGAAGGACTGTGGTGGCTAGCTGTCTTTGTAAATAACCTGCCACAGCTAGAGAAATATCTCTCTGTAAGAGTTGGAATGAAACTGAAAAATCCATAACAAGCTACCCAATATATGTACAAAGGAATCTTAGAAACAAACTACCACAGAGTGCTTAAATGCTAAAAGGAGTTAGGTAATTCCCAAATGTTTACTTTGTTTATCTGAAATGTTTTCTGCCAGACCTTCAAACGGCTGACTTTTTCACGGTATTGGAGGATCTCTCAAATTTTGCCTACTGGGAGAAGCTGTTCCAGATCACTCGAAGGTAACTTCCCCATTTCGCTACCACAATTTCCTCATAGCCATATGACAATCTGAAATGACATTTGTCTACTTGTTTATAATGTATCTAAATCACTAAAATGCAAGCTCCATGAGATTCTAGATTCTTTTAATTTGTTTAGCATAGTGATATCAGCTAGTGATTGAAAAGGTAGCAAGTTGAGGACAAGCTTTTTATGACTACTTCTCTACCAATACCCCACATTTTACTCAAGTCTTAATCTCTGCTATGAAGCCCAAAGTAAATGACACCATCTCCTTATCCCTGGACTTACCAAGCATTTCCTGTACAAACATGCCTGTTTGGAACTTCCCATTATGTTAAATAGTCAAGTGTTTGGAATGTATCTAATTCACTTCATTTTCCATCATTTTCAATACTTACCTTGTTATTGTGTGAATCAAATAAAACACGTACCAAAGTATCTGGCATAGCACAGGTACTCAATAAATGGTAGTTAATCTAGTCCAAAATTCAATTATGAATAATTGAACTTACACGTATCTCAACCCCAATTGATATCACACTCATTTTGTTTTATATTACTGTACTAATTCCAATCTCCTGTTTCTGAAGGATTCTCAGACTACTCAGATGGTTCCAACATTAATGTTTGCAATTGTCCAAGCCAGAAATAAAACATGACTGGTATTCAAAGTCAGAATAACACATTGAGTATCAGATAAGAAGTTGTTTTGAAGCATAGTCAATAGGGAAATTACCTGCTGAGCAATCTACCTATGTTCTTAATCTAACATTATACCATCCCTTCCCTCTTCTCCACAAAACTCAGGTCCTTCTTCAAGGACCAGAAGTGGATTCCCCAGAAGTGGAATTCCAGAAGCAGATCACCCAATTTCTCAATTCCTTATAATTCTGCCTTACAGCAATGGGTTAATATTCTCAGTAATGGCATCTTTAGACTATTCATACTTCAGTTATTCTATCATTAATGCTATTATAATGATTTCTAGTCACATTTTCTACTCATAACATGAAATTCTTTTCATTAAGCTAAATTTACATTAGTGAATATGAAAAGTCTGCTGTGTTTATCCTTGGAGAATGTTTCCCCTAGATATTAGAACAGTAGTTTGCTCAAATCACAGGGTCTTTCTCATTATCCTGTTCAAATATTTTTTGTTTATTCTTGTTATATTAGATACCATCCTGCAGGTGAGGACAGCATGGGACATGAATTTATCATCTTCTTCCTTAGTATCAATCTCTTCAGAAGCCCAGAGCAACATCTTGGAGTCATTGGTTCATTTCACTGTATTTATGTCTTAAAATGTAATTTTTTACATCTAAACATTGTCTTTTTCTTCTCTATGTCATCCCTGTGAGAAGGCAATTAATGAGCAATTAGGCTCAGTTATGTCATGTCTCCTATAATTAGCTAACACAAGCAGCTTGTGGCAGGTTTGATGTTATAAGCCATGACTTTTGGATTCCCTTGTTTTTGTAAGTTTTTATTCCCAATCCTTACAACTGTTTTTCAGATTTTCATTGATATCTTCAAGCCTCCTTCTTTGGCTCCCTATAGTACATCTTTGTTTTTTGTAGATGATTTAGCTGCTTGATTAAAAAGAAGTTAAAGACCATTAGATACTATTTCCCTAATTTCTTACTAATCCCTGAAGATAAACCTGCACTACCATCTATATAAAGTCTAATTTCTTCACAGAGAATAAGATGTGCATCACCTATGCATGGCTAATTACTCTGTTATTGATACTAAACCACCCAAACTTTTTCAGATCTTCTCTCTCTCTCTCTCTCTCTCTCTCTCTCTCTCTCTGTGTGTGTGTGTGTGTGTGTGTGTGTGTGTCTGTCTGTCTGTCTGTCTCTCTCTCCCTCTCTCACCATTTGAAACTTTTCTTCTCTATTGGTAATTTTTGGACAAAAGCTTAATTTATCATATTAAAATTAGATTTCCTTTACTCATATTTATCCTTAAACCACCATTTTCCCTCTCACACAGACTTTGTATGCATAATTTATATTTTTTGTTTTTATTTTTCACAGTATGCTTATTTGTCAATTCAGTTTAACAAATATTTTAGCAACTGGTATGCATTATGCTATGTACAACCATTGTAAAATTGCTTCTAACCTTACTTTTTCATTGAAAATGTATGTCTTGGTGACTTTTCTAGTCAATGAGACAAAATACCTGATAGTCACAATTTAAAGAAAGAAAAGTTTATTTCAGGTCGTGTTCTTAGTCTGTAGTTCACCAGAACCAAGGCAGAAAGTAATGGTGAAAGGGTCCAACAGAGAAAAGTTGTTAGGCGGCTAGGAAGCAGAAAGCAAAAGCAGAAGCCAGAAAGGGAAATATATCATTCTATGTCACAGCAACAGTGACCTGCCTCTTCCAACCAGATTCTATCTTCTTATAGAAAGTCATCCATAATGCCCCCATAAATCAATCATCTCTCAAACACATGAGGCTTTTAGAGTGATCTTAAATATAAGTCATAAAATTCTTCCCCTGGCCCCCCAAAAGATTTATGCACATCTCTTTATGCAAAAACCCATTTAATCCAACTTTAAAATTACCAAAGTTTTGACAGCTCTAGCATTGCTAAAAAGTCCAAATCCAAAATATCCTCTGAGATGCAAAGCAATCTCTAAGCTGTGAGCTCCTATAAAATTCAAAAAGAAAATTAAACACTGCCAACATATAATGGCATAGAGAAAACATTCCTGTTCCAAAAGGGATGAAGAAGAGAACAGGTGAGTATTAAACCAAAGCAAAACTAAAACCCAGTAGGGAAAGATTAAATACTTCAGCTCTATGTACAGTGCTCAGCATAAGCTGTGGTGAGATACAAGCTCCATCAAGTTGGTTGGTCCTACTGCAATGGCTTTACCAGTGGATGTTCCCCCAATGGTGTCTTGGGCTTACTCCTCGTGGCTTCAGGCATTTCATGTCCCTGGCCCAACTTTCTGGGGTCTTCACTGCTCTTTTGGCTTCACTCTCGCAGCTTCGCACACTGCCCTTTCAGGGGACACTATCTGACCACCCAGATCTTCTGAAACCTGCCCCCACAACTCTTGCATTCTGTATGTCTGTAAAACCAGCATGACATGGATGATTCTGAGATCTGCCACCAGTTCAAGCAGTAGCCAAGTCACCTTGAATCATGACTACCTCTGAGTACCTGCATAGCTGAGCATTGGGAACTGAATTCTAGAGAATCTATGTTCTAGGTGACCCTTCTGGAGCACAGTGCCTTGGAGCTCTTCTCCATTAAAAAGTTTACATTTTTGAATCTGCAAAGGAAGAGGTCTTGCTGATTTCTCATATGTCTTAAAGCCATTTTTTCTATTTCCCAATGAAAAGTATTGGGAGAACCAGCATTCCCAAGATCCGGCCATGGTGGAACTTAGACATATTATTCCTCAGCCCTCTTGGTAAGCACCCCTGAGGTGGGCCAGGAGGAGAACCACCAGCTCCCAAGATCTAGCCATGGTGGAACTTATGCAGCTTGTTCTTCCATTCTCTTGGTAAGCGCCCCCGGTGCTGGCCAAGAGGAGAATCAGTGCTTCCAAGATCCGGTCATGATGGAACTTAGACAGCTTATTCTCCCGCCCTCTTGGTAAGCACTCTGGCACAGGCCAGGAGGAGAACCAGTGCTCCTGAGATCTGGTCATGGTGGAACTTAGGCAGCTTATTTTCCTGCCCTCTTGGTAAGCGCCCCCCCCAGCACAGGCAGGAGAAGAACCACCAGTTCCCGTGAGCCTACAGGCATGCAGGCTGAGAATCAAACTCTCCTCTTTCCTGCCATAGCAACTGCGGATAGATATTTCAGCGTCTTTTGGGAGGATGACCATATGCAATATAGCACATATGAGGGATTTACTCCTTATCTTGTTTGAAGGCAAAGGTTGTTTACACTGTTTTGTTTTGTTATGTTTGTTTTGCTCTATTCAATACTCTCTTTCAATTGGTTTTATAATGTTCTGATTTTGGTTTGATTTCACTAAACCTAACTGACTGGATAAATATTGTGAAGATATTGTGAAGATATATTATAGTACCTATTACTACTATCCCAGTATCCTGCTGTGAAGTCTATACCAATTTCATTGCATTGTCTCGATTGGCTTTGTTCTGTCTTATTCTGTTGTATTTTTACTACCTTCAAAATAAAATTAAAAAATAATAAAATATTTGGCTTCTTTTTAATGCTAATCTTTTTAGTAACCAAGTTCTCTTCCCTAGAACCTACTTTGCAGGCTCTTTTTTATAGTGAAACTGAAAACGTTCCCAATTTTTAAAAAAATTTATTTAAAGAGAAAAAAATGAAAACAGAAACATATTGTCATCTTAGAAATAGTCGTCAAAGTTACAAAATTAAAGCATACAAAGTGACAAAGTGGACATTCAAATAATGAAACTGTAAAAAGTTCTGTTCAACAGTCCAACAAAAACTTAGTAATATGGTTATCTATCTTACACACTTAAACATACATTCAGTTATATCCTTTAGAGCACTTTCTTTTCCTCTCTTTTTTATAATAACAATTACACTTTTGGGTTTTATTACCCATTCACTTCATATTATTTTTTAAAAAGAGAATAAAACCAAATGTGACAAAACAAAATAGAGGCAGTCAAAACAAAAGGATGAAATAGTACATGATGTAAAAACAAAATACAATGTGATCAGCAATGGTTACCATAAATGCCTCTTGCTATCTTCAAAAGAATTGCTCATTTCATCAGGTATCATAAATTTGAACAAAACAGTACAAAACAAAACCAATAAAAATGAAACCTTGGAGATATTACAGGACTTCAAAAGAAGTTAATAGTTAAAGCAGAATGGGTGTCATAGTGAATCTTATTATCTTCAAAGTAGTTGCCTATATCCTCAGACTTGATACTAGCAAACAACACAGAATAGAGTAAAATCAGTCAAAACAAGACAGTGAAAACAATACAGGGCTTCAAAATCAAGTTAATAGGAAATAAAAAATGA